AAGCCAACTAAGATTCAAAGAAAGCGTCCAAAACACCTTTACAACTCCCTAGTATTTTTTAAATAAAAATAGTTATATGGTGAGAATCTAATCAACGTTTTCTAAAGGACTCAATTGAGAGGCAGAAGGTGAATAAAGCATACCTTAAAGAGAAAAGGCAGAATGAACAAAAAGGGGGAGGGGATTTCATGGTCCTAGAATGTGCAAGGGAGGACAGCCAGGCCAAAGAAAAACATCCAAGAACTATGATGAGTTATCTTAGCTTGAAGGCTGAAGCAAAATAAGAGTCACTACTTCATCCATTTATTGGAACTTAAACTAATCTTGTAAGAAGTCCTTATGTTACGGTTACAGCAAGAAATATGACCACAACCACTAATTCAGTGCATATAAGCATTTTGAATACAAACACAAAGTGCAAGAAAAATTCACCTTTCCGTGTCTTTGTGAAACGATCTCCGCCAATCTCCACTATTATTGACAAGAAGTACAGCCAGAAGGATAAAAATGCTGAGTAGACAATTAATGACCATCCAACGGAACTGGGCCAACAGAAACACTAAAAGTGAAAAAAGAATGCCTACCAAATGCCTAAAACACCAAAAGGAATAAATAGAAACCTAATACGATACTTAATCTTAGTAGGCAATAGCCAATATATTTCATGGGCAACCAATAACATTTTACTACTAGGAGCTGCTTCTTCTTAGTAGCCAATAGCCATCATTTTATGGGTGAGCAATATTCATTTTATTGCAAGGAGGTGCTTATTCTTAGAAGCCAGTAGCCTTATGAGTCAGAAACAAGAATTTTACTACTACGAGCTACTTATTCTTGGTAGCCAATAACCAAGTTTTTTCTGGGCAACCAATAATATTTTACTACTAGGAACTACTTCTTAGTAACCGGTAGCCAAATGAGTGAGGAACAAGCATTTTACTACTAGGAACTACTTCTAAGTAGCCAGTAGCCATAGATATTATGGCGACCAATCATATTTTACAACTAAGAGTGACTTCTTCCTAGTCGGTAACCTTATGAATGAACAACAAGCATTTTACCACTGGGAGCTATTTCTTCTTAGTAGCCAGAAGCCTTATATGAGAGGAACAAACATTTTACTACTAAGAGCTACTTCTTAGACATTAGCCTTACGGGTGAGCAACAAGCATTTTACTACTCGGAGCTATTTCTTCTTAGTAGCCAATAACCATATATTTCATAAGACATTTTAGTACTAGGAATTACGGCTTCTATGTAGCCAGTAGCCATAGATTTTATGGGTGAGTAATAAGAATTGTATTACTAGGGGCTACTCATTCTTTGTAGCTAATAGCCATGTATTTTATGGGTGAGCAATAAGAATTTTACTACTAGGAGCTACTTATTCTTAGTAGCTAGTAGCCATATATTCCATGGGTGACCAATAGCGTTTTACCACTACAAGCTACATATAAGGAGGAGGCAGTAGCACGTACCATCAAAAGAACTATTACTTTTATGTATGGCCATTTATGGAGAGTATTTTCTTTTCTAGTAAGAATCTTACAAACTATATAAAAGCCATACCGTTTCAAGAAAACCTGACTTCCTATTACATGCCTATCAATGTTCCATTGTAGCCCGAGCCTTGTTACTTCAAGGCAGCCACCATATGATCTTAGCAGTCAATGTTTGCTGATAAGTTGACCATAAAATTAATCCCAAGGGCCCAGAAAAGATATGAAAAGTAGCCCAATTTAATTGATTATAATAATTTTTCCTTCTCTTTCCTCCCACCCCTTCTCCCTCCCTCAAACCAAACACATTGTAGGTGTGATGAGTTTAAGCATCTCAAGAGCTTGGGCCACTTGGCCAGAATGTGCTCCTCCTCTCTTACCCAAGCAACTTCTTAACACTGTCCATATCATTATTGTGGCCTTACAATACAAGGTGATGCGTGTCAATGACCACAACCCATATCATTACTCAATACTAGAAAAAAAAAAAAAATTGATGGGTGACCCTAGCATCCTTCAGTCTTCACCGTCTCCAGTTAACAGTATTCTACTTCTCCGCTAGAGTGGTATTTTTCCAGAAGGTAACGAAGACAAAGCGGGAACTTGGACAGAAATCTAATCCTCATGTTAGCATGAATGATCTAATTCACGTCAAGAATCAAAGAATGAACTGCTCTATTATTCCTATATAAAATAAAAGAACTGTGAAATTTTGTACATCTTTTGGTGGGTATATAAGAAAACTTGTCAGAATCCCTGAAGAAACATTCCTAGAAAACTACAAAAAGGCAAAACCGCAACTACTTCTACTCCAAATGAAAGACTGCTATTGTAATAGCATTGACTTCACGAAGACACAAGCAGAGCAGGCATCCACAGATCATTTTCAATCCCAAATCAACACGCAAAGACACTGATATGCTGCTCAAGCAGCTCTTGCTTGGACTGGCACATCTGACCTGGTATTACCACCACGCCCACGGCCCCTTCCCCTGCTACGCCCTCGCCCTGCAAGGCAACATTTATCTTGAGCTCAGACCTTTAGTGTTCTTTTGTGCCTGAAGCACAAAACCACTTCAACTAACCAAAACAGCTGAAAAAATTAAGTTAATTTGGTAGTTAACCACTTGTGTTAATAGTCAAGTCTTGTATTTTTTCTCCTAAGGTTACAAATATTCATTATGCACAAACGTTATATTGTGCTTAGTCTAAGCATCTGCCATCTGTACCAATTATGAAAAAGAACTTCATATTGACATGCTTGGGGCAAACAATTTCCATGAAGTTATTATCAACATAGTTCAAAACAACTTACCACGACCTTGGACAGGGGGTACATCATACTCCCCATGATCATAGTATGCTCCTGCACCATATCCTCGCCCCCGACCCCGGAAAGAACGACCTCTTCCACGTCCACGACCTCTGCCACCAAAACCACGCCCACCCTCCCAACCATCCCCATTGTAGCCCCCTGCCCCACCATAATTTGGGGCATAATTACCTGCTAACATTAAAATTGGGCAGATCATCATCAATTAAGAATGCCTTACCATAAATGAAATGCTTGAAATACCATAAAACTTCACAGTTTTTCCTTTTATCATCTTATTTTATTCAAACAATCTAAAAAGTTGTCAATTATCAACAATACAGGAGTGAAAAAGTATTCAGAAATTGTGCTCAAAAAACAGAAAATAAACCAGCTTTTGTTTAAAAAATATAAAGGAGCCAAGCATTCACAAGGCTAGATGCAATCACGTATTTCATATGTCCGAAGCAAACCGCACAAGTGATCATTTTGAGACGCTCTGAATTGAATACAAAATTTTCTGATAAATCTAATTTTTAATTCATAGAGGGAAAGGGAATTCAGAATGCTCAAATTGCAAAGAAGATAAATAAATACACAATCCATGATATGCAATACAAACAAGTGGATCATCCTATGTAGTATGAGAATTAGAAATACCTCTTCCCCTGCCCCTTCCTTGACCACCGCGTCCCCTTCCTCTCGCACTTGGTGATCCCTCTGAATTAAATGACATCAACCAACATATCTTATCACTCGTTATGGTGGGTAGCAGTAAATTTTTTCATGAAGAAAAAGCAAGAAAATGTTGACTCACCTCCATCATAATCAAATTCATTCAATGGTTTCACTTGATCGGCTGGTAGAGGAGGTTGATATCTGCATCACAGGGTGAATAAATTATGATCTCAGGACCGTAGTTGAGATATAGAAAATGAACAGCTCAAATACACTCAACTAAAACAACAACAACTAATACTAATACAAACGATCTTTGATTCAGATCATATGAAAATGATTCTTCAAATTAATTAAATGGGAACAAACCATTTTTTTTCACAAATATAAATTAAAGGTCTAATGCCAAATAATTACCCTGTGGAGGATGTGTCCAGCTCCGTCTTTGACAACGTAATTGTGATCATTGAGACATGACGAGTAGTCTCCAGACTGTAAGAAGACATCAAATCAGTGAAATTCTGATTACTATACTCCAAAATTCAAGGAATTTTCAAGATCTTAGTAGCATGAAAGAGATTGCTGTTACATACGGAAGAAGGCCTTCTTCAAGTGGCTCCCACGTGTCTGTTATATCAGTTGATCCAATTGAAGTATTCTGATGTAGACCAACAATCCTTCTCTGAAATCACAGATTAAGTTAAGATGATACATAATGTTTGGTCTTTTCCAAGAGAGAGCATAAGTGCAACCACACCTTAATAAGCTCTGCGACCATCACAGTCTTATTAATGGCTCTGCCCATTGCCTTAAGGACAATCTCACTGGAGCCTCTCTCCTACAAAAAGGAAATTCATATCAAATCTGGTGCACCAGAGAAACAAGAAGAAAACCAAAATTTAGAAAGTGGCCCAATAAATAACACTCTTTGAGGTAAACATTTTTTATACTAAGTCTGTTAAACAATGGGCCAATGGTGATGATCTAGTCTCAACGTCAGGAGGCAAAACAAAAATGGCAAATCTCAGAAGCTTTAAACTTCAAATTAAAAAGCAGCAGCTTCAAAGGACACGTTTGCCCAGAAATGTCCATATGAGAAAATTTCGAATAGTACCAAATTACTAAACGTTCCCTTCGAGGCCATTGCTTTGAAAAAAAATACAAGACTATCCATAGATAGATTAAGAAGACCATGATTCATCATAAGAAGCATCAAAACAGCTGAGCTTCAGGATCCATCTTATTTTCAGGATGAGTACCTCAAACAGATTAAATTGAATCTTATTTTCAGGATGATTACCTCAAACGGATTAAATTAACAGCTTAAGATACATCCTAAACGCAATTTTCTAGCGCACAATCTGGCAGATTTCAAAAAACTTCGCCACATACACCTTACACTAAAACCTATACTCAAATGAATAAGAAAGTAATGCAACAGATACCTGAAGGAGAGTGGTAGCATAAGTGATGTAGTTCCTAATCCTGCCTTGAGTTGTGATGCGAATTTCGTTCTCGTTGATCGGCGTCTCCGCCTTGGGCTTCTCCACCCTCTGGTACCTATCCATCTGCATCCGACCGAAAACACCACCTCCAA